GGAGTCTCTCTCTATCACCCAGGCTGGAGTACAGTGGCCTTCTCTGCTCACTGCAACCTCTGCCTCCCAGGTCCAAGTGATTCTCCTGCCTCAGCCTCCCGAGTAGCTGGGATCAAATCATTCTCTTTTAAAGGACTTGCTGGGTAACCAGCCTTGTGTTTCCTTCAGGCATAGGTGCCCTAACTGCCCGGTCTTCCTTATTGTTTGCTTAGTGGTGATGCAGGCCACTCTCCCATGTCACTTTACTTTGACTTCATGAAGCACCATGTGTTTTGCAAGATTTGCCTTTTCACTTTGTGTTGCATGACAAGTGGGGCTAGAATCTAGTGTTAAGGCATCAGGGGCGATTGAGTGGCTTATGAATTAGTCCACACTTTTGTGACTCCTGCTTCCCATCCTAATCTTGCCTCTGGGGGCTGCGGAATGAGGCTATTAAGGGCCCCCTGCCTCTGTGTCTTCCGTGCCGATCTCCCAGATCTGCAGCGTTCACTCTGCCCTCTCCCTGCTCCATGCTGCTCACGTGGGAGAGATCCTCAGATGAGCCTGCCGTTGTCTTTGTTTCCACTCTGAACACCCCCACCCCCATCTGCCACTGACTTCCTCTTCCTTGTCCAAGATTGGGCTCCCAGGTCACCAGAAAATCTTGTAGGTCTTACCTCTCTAGAAGGTTGTCATTTGTCACCTGGCACAGCACTTACAGTGCTGAATTCTAATCACCTCTATCTTGTGAGTCCCAGAAAACATGGGCTAGATCTTGGCATTCCCAGCATTTAGCTGCTGACGGCTCACTGAGGATTTGATTCCAGCCCTTTTGTTTAGTGCCTCCCACTTGTCCATTTCTTTCATTTTTTTTTTTTTTTTTTAGCTCCTGAAAACCCTCTTCTTATTCCTAATCACCTGTCTTACAACATCACCTTTTGTCATGAATCAAATACAGTAACTTTCTTTTTTAACTCCAGAAAAAGCTTACTCATTTTTCTTTCATTTTTTTAAGTAACTTTCTAAAAAACTTTTTAATTTTTTTTTTTTGAGACAGAGTCTTACTCTGTCGCCAGGCACCAGGCTGGAGTGCAGTGGCACAATCTCGGCTCACTGCAACCTCCGCCTCCCGGGTTCAAGCAATTCTCCTGCCTCAGCCTCCCGAATAGCTGGGACTACAGGCGCACACCACCAAGCCCAGCTAATTTTTTTGTATTTTTAGTAGAGATGGGGTTTCACCATGTTGGCCAGGGTGGTCTCGATCTCTTGACCTCATGATCCGCCCGCCTCGGCCTCCCAAAGTGCTGGGATTACAGGCTTGAGCCACTGTGCCTGGCCTAAAAATCTTTTTATTTGGAAAAAATTTCGACTTACAGAAGAGTCAAAGAATAAAAAGAATACAGAGAACACCCATATACCAGTACCTAGATTGCTCTAGTTTTATTCTGTTTGCCTTATCATTCTTTCCTTCTCTTCAGCTCTTAATGTCTGTGTGTGTGCCTTTTTTTTCTTTTTCTTTTCTTTTCTTTTTTTTAGAGATGGAGTTTCGCTGTTGTTTCCCAGGCTGGAATGTAATGGTGCGATCTCGGCTCACCATAACCTCCACCTCCTGGGTTGAAGTGATTTTCCTGCCTCAACCTCCTGAGTAGCTGGGATTACAGAAGCATCCCACCACCCTCAGCTAATTTTTGTATTTTTAGTAGTGACCAGCCTTTGCCATGTTGGCCAGGCTGGTCTCGAACTTCTGACTTCAGGTGATCTGCCTGCCTCAGCCTTCCAAAGTGCTGGGATTACAGGCATGAGCTGCCACACCCAGCCGACCTTTTCTTGTTGTATACACAAATGTTCAGTACACATTTGCTAAGAATTAGGGATATTCTCTTTCATAATCATAGTATAATTATGGCATTAGGAAATTTCACATTGATGCAATACTTTACTGTTCATCAGTTAATTTTGTTAGTTGACCTAATAATGTCCTTTATAACATTTTTCCACTCAGTATGGGATCCAGTTGAGAATAAGGTATTGTATTCTTTGTCATCTCTTTTAGCCTTCTTTAATCTGGAACATTCCAACAACCTTTCTTTGTCTTTTATGATATTAATGTTTTTGAAGAATACTGCTCTTCATTTTTTTTAATAGATTCTTCCTCATTCAGGCTTTAGCTGATATTTTCTCATGACTAGATTCAGATTATGCATTTTTGGCCAGAATATTACATAGGTGATGATGTGTCCTTCCCAAGATACCACATCTGGAGGCCCACGATATTCATCTCTCCCTCATTGGTGATGTTCATTTTGATCACCTGATTAAGGTGTGGTCCAGTTTCTCTGCTGTATCATTTAAGTAAAGTGTTTTTGTTTTTTGTTTTTGGAGACACGGTCTTACTCTGTCACCCAAGCTGAAATGCAGTGGCACAATCACAGCTCACTACAGCCTCAACTCCTGGGTTCAGGTGATCTTCCCACCTCAGCCTCCCAAGTAACTGGGACTGCAGGCATGAGCCACAATGTCTGGCTAACTTTTATATTTTTTTTTTGTAGAGACAGGGTTTCGTCATGTTACCCAAGCTACTCTCTAACTCCTGGGCTCAAGCAATCTATCCACCTCAGCCTCCCAAAATGCTGGGATTACAGGTGTGAGCCACCATGCTGGCCTCAAGTAGAGTTATTTTTTTACCAAATGCATATATGCGTAAAACTCATAATAATAAGTCTGGTTATTAGGGTTAATGTTCATATTTGGAACTTATTGGTAAATTGCTATTTCTAGTGGTCATGCAGAAACTTCCATGCTTTGAAATCATAAATTGCAGCGTAACCGTCGTGACCTATTTTTTTCTCTTTTTTTCTTTGCCATTAAAAACTATAGAAGCAGCTGTGCCCCCATGGGTTGACACTAATGATGAAGAAACAATTCAACAACAAATTTTGGCCTTATCAGCTGTAAGTATCTTGTGGTACCCCA